AAAAAAACGATACGTTTTTTTCCTTGGGATGCAGTCCCATGCTGTGTTCATATACTTGCAGAAAAGTTCCAATAACATACTATGCACAATCTGCACATTATTTAGTTTTGGCCATATAATTATAATTATATGTAATTATATAATAATATAATATTGCCATTAACTAACTTTCACTGTTCTTTAACCTTAAATTATTTAAGGGGAAAAATATATATTTTTTGTGCAAAGTTTTATCAGTTAACATTTCCCTTTGTTGCACACTGGCACTGTAATAATCATTATTCTGGAATAGTTGCAATATATTCTGCCAGAAGGTGGAGCTCTAGGAAACCTAGTCACAGTTCAATTGTTTAACAACAGAGCAGACAAACAGTATGTTGAGTCACTTATACTAAGGAGGGAACAGTAAGTCTTGACTCTCAAAGTCAATTGTCTCTTATTAGTGCAGATGTTGCTACTGGTATTCATTGTATTTTCTCTTCTAAGAGGTGAGTCATTCATAATTACTGTAGAAGTTTTTTTTCTCTCTTTATCCTGTTGACAATCTGAAATAGTCCATTACAAATAATATTTTTATTTTTACAGGGAATGCTGCTGCAGACGTGATAACACCATTAATCACAATGAAGCATGTTTTGGAAGGAAAAGATGTTACACTGATCTGCAACTACACTGGCAGTGTTCAGAATTTGCAGTGGTACCGTCAGTATCCCGGATCCAAACCTGAGAACCTCATTTTGTTCATTGAGACCAGCCCTAAATCAGAGCCCTCTCTCCGTCTGACCGCTGCAGCTGATAAAGTCGTCAAACATATGAATCTGACAATCTCTTCTACAGAAGTCAAAGACTCTGCCATGTACTATTGTGCCCTGCAGCCCACAGTGACAGGAAACACAACTGCACCCTACAAAAACTCAATTGCCTTTTAATATCTGCCTATATTGTCTATGTTAATATTTCAGGGAATCACGGCACACTAAAAGTTGTACATACCTTTAAAGCTTATTCCAACATGAAGCAGCTGAGTGTCAACTTAACACAGGCTGTAATAAATGAATTTGACTGGCATAATGCCAATATTAGGTTGTTGACTACAGCTTCTTTCTATATATTGAGTATTTGTAGAGTAAGATGAGCAAAGTACAGTATGTGTGGGAGGAGCTCAATGTTTTGTCGACTCCTACAGAATAAATTAGAGAAAACAATGTCTTACCTTCATACTGATGATACTCTGAACTCAAACTACAGAATCATGTTACTCATCTCTTCTGTTTTAACATTTATCCTCAGTTACTGTAAGTATTACTCATGTACATTTTGCTCTGTATTTCAGAACAACACAAAAAATATATAAAACAAATTTACATTTGCTTTGCTCTAAATTGAATCCATTACTTTGCTTGAATCTTTAATGTCTTTGCAGGTGAGGCGAATGGGAATGTCATCAGACCAAACCAACCATCTGAAGTTTTAACTGAAGGAAGCAGCATCACTCTCTCCTGTACATATGATGTATCAGCTTACAGTCTCCACTGGTACCGGCAGATACCTGGATCAAGACTAAAGTTTCTGCTGCTGATTGTGAAGTCTACTAAAACTGAAGTTCCAGCTTCTCCACCTCTCCCGCATATGTCCATCAAACTCCATAATGATAACCGTGTGGATCTGGAGATCTCCTCTGCTGCTGTATCTGACTCTGCAGTGTATTACTGTGCTCTGCAGCCCACAGTGACAGGAAAATCATCTACACTGTACAAAAACAGGTTTCTTGTATAGTCATTTTTTTTAAGAGGGAGGAGCTTCTTCCCATGTAGTGTCTCAGTCTTTTCCCCCATTTTGCTTTCCTTTGCTGTGTAGTGTTGCCTTACTCTGAGAACTACTATATTAGCAAATGTTAGTGCACCATATTTCTTGTCAATTACTGTTCATTTAAGACAACTTTTACAAGACAAAACACACTATAATTTACAATACGTTAAGTTAACCACCGTAAGTATGAACTCACATACTATAAACAGGACAAATTCCTACTATCATAAGTTTGCTACTAGATTTCTTTGCACTGGACAATGACCGTCCTTATGATTACAAAAAAAAGTTACATTCAAATACTTTTTTAAAAATGTGTTCAAAGAATATTGTTCAATCTTCTTAAATATTATATATTAGGCCAAAAATGCTTACTTGTTGTAGCAAATTAGCTCTATGAAATATTAATAATCAATCATAACTTGTTAGAGTTGATTATGAATATTTTGATTAGTTAATCGGGTTAACTTGATGTAGCTACATTAACATTACAACCAATTACTCGGTTCATCCCGTGAACACTCAATATTGGTTTAATTAATAGAAATGTACATTTCCGGGGCATGGGAAATGTCTTTCTTACTAAGTACTACTAAGAGCAAGTAGTCATGATCTATGATTAGTGACTCCAGATATGAGCTTGAGACACGGACAACTTTACGTGTGACATAAACAAGATTTTATTAACTAGACTAAACATTTAAACTACTCTAACATACACATCCATACATGCATACAGTTTACCAAGGGAAAGAGAGCTGAAGCAGAATACAGGAAAGCAAGAAGTTATAGCATTGTTTGATGTTCAGCAGATCAACAGCCTGAGCAAACCAACCAACATGCCCTTCTTAAAAAGGGGTAAGGATACTTAATGTATCAAATAATGAGACTAAGTTACTTGCATGTCTCGCTCATTTGAATTAAACTGTCCTGATGCAATTTGTTGAGGCTCCAGTTGATCTTTGCTGATGTGGTCTTGATGAGAGAGAACCAGTGGGAGTCAGAGGATCTTTGGTGAATGGAAAGACAATGCCGCAGCCTGGCGCAAGCTTGGGGTCCTTGGGGGACTTCTAATTCAGCATCATCTTCACATTGGGACTTCTCAGGAAGGACCAAGAGAGTAAGAGAGCAAGAGGCTAAAAGAGCTAAGAGCAAGAGGACAAAAGGACAAGAGGGCTAATCTTGTGATCACAGATTTTTAAAGCGTGAAGATGTCACACCCTCTGGAGGTGCGTGAGCCAATACGAAGCGGTCCCTTTGGAGGGAGTTTTTACGACCCATTGTGTTCTAGCAGGGCATTTGAATGTGTAATTTCATTGGGCGTTTAAGAAAAGAATCTTCACGATTCTTATAATACTAATGCGTCATACAGTTAGTAAAATGTAATGTAAATGAACAAATGGGGGATGAAGATTGGAGTTTGTAGAGACCAAACATGCCACACATATGATTTTGGTTAACCATAGTAACCAAAGTCATGTTTCAGACCAAAATGGTTTAGAAGAGAGAATGAAGACATAGGCCAAACCACATAAAAGGAAAATCATGAGATAGAAAACTAGATACATGTTAATACATTTATCACATGGTTATATATATAGGATTAAAAGGGTTAATTTCTCCTTCTCAGCAAGAATTAAGTCACAATTCCCAGCACATTCTTTTGGGTCGTAAAACTTATCAGTCTTACTGTGTCCTTTAACAGGACACTGAGTTCTGCCAGTGTGTTAGCTTGATTCGGGGGAAGTTTCAAAGACCTTTGTTGGGATAGTGAGTTTGCTGGATTATTCATTAATGAATAATTTGTGTGTGTCAGATTGGTCCAGACGCTACATAAGATACATCCCTTATGAAATGAAGAGATTTTGTAGCAAAAGTGATCTCACCTGCATTCTTCCAGAAGGTGGAGCTCTAAGAACCAATTGTAGTTCAGTCTCAGTTCAGATTAAAAACAGAGCAGACAGACTTATATTGAGTCACTTATACTCTAGGAGGAAACTGTAAGTCTTGGATCTTAAAGTCATTGTCTCTTATTAGTGCAGATGTTGCTCCTGGTATTCATTATATTTTCTCTTCTATAAGGTGAGTGATTCATAACAATTACTGTGGGAATGATTTCCCCCTTTTTATACTGTTGACAATTTAAATTTGTCCATTTGAAATTGTTAATTTTAGTTTGAGTGTTTGTTTGTTTGTTTGTTTGTTTTAAATAGAAAATGCTGCTGCAGACGTGATAACACCATTCTTCACAGAGAAGCATGTTTTGGAAGAAAAAGATGTTACACTGATCTGCAACTACACTGGCAATGTTCAAAATTTGCAGTGGTACCGTCAGTATCCCGGATCCAAACCTGAGAACATAATTTTTTACTTTGAAGCCAGCCCCAAATCAGAGCCCTCTCTCCGTCTGACCGCTGCAGCTGATAAAGTCGTCAAACATATGAATCTGACTATCTCTTCAGAAGTCAAAGACTCTGCCATGTACTATTGTGCCCTGCAGCCCACAGTGACAGCAAACACAACTGCACCCTACAAAAACTGAGTGAGAAATGACATTCAAAATGGAAAATCATGATGCTCAATTTAAAAAGAGTTTGTAAACAATATAATATGCTGTATAGTGTTGCTTTTCTCTGAGAACAACCAGTTTAGCAAAGTGCACATTTTACTTGTTAATTATTGGTAATTTAAGGCCACTGTTATGAGACAAAATACAATATAATTTACAATACATTATTCATTTCATTTCATTTATTTATTAAGTTAACCAGTACACCGTATGAACTCACATGCTAGAAAAACATTTCTTTAAGCAAAACCTAGAACCAATCAGGAGGTCCCTGACATCAGCTTGTAAAGAAATAGGTTCTAATAATGGAAATAAATTATTATTAAGTATACAAAAATGTATTAAAACAAAAGTTTATTAGGTCTAAAGGACAACATTCTGCAGACAAGACTTTGCTTAACTGACTATCATAACTTTGCTACTTGATTTCTTTGCACAGTAAACATAAATTGTGCAATCAGTCAGATCTCTCTGGACAGTGAAAGTCCTTATTAGGAAAAAAGTGTTACATTCACATACTTTTTGAAAAAGCCAATTTGTTTAAATAATCATTTTCAGTGCGTATTTTAATATGCCTAAAATTCTTCAATAAGATCTTGTTGTTTAAGATAATATAGTAGCAAAAGTGATCTCACCTGCATTCTTCCAGAAGGTGGAGCTCTAAGAATCAATTGTAGTTCAGTCTCAGTTCAGATTAAAAACAGAGCAGACAGACTTATATTGAGTCACTTATACTCTAGGAGGAAACTGTAAGTCTTGGATCTCAAAGTCATTGTCTCTTATTAGTGCAGATGTTGCTCCTGGTATTCATTATATTTTCTCTTCTAAAAGGTGAGTGATTCATAACAATTACTGCGGGAATGATTTCCTCCTTTTTATACTGTTGACAATTTAAATTTGTCCATTAGAAATTATTAATTTTTGTTTGTTTATTTGTTTTATACAGAGAATGCTGCTGCAGACGTGATAACACCATTCTTCACAGATATGCAGGTTTTGGAAGGAAAAGATGTTACACTGATCTGCAACTACACTGAAAGTGTTCGAAATTTGCAGTGGTACCGTCAGTATCCCGGATCCAAACCTGAGAACATAATTTTGTTCTTTGAAGCCAGCCCTAAATCAGAGCCCTCTCTCCGTCTGACCGCTGTAGCTGATAAAGTCATCAAACATATGAATCTGACAATCTCTTCTACAGAAGTCAAAGACTCTGCCATGTACTATTGTGCCCTGGAGCCAAGGGGGTAATCCATCGACCGGAAGTTGAAGCCGGCCGGGTGCCGCCATGTTGTAGCAGAACTTCACTTGCGTTAGCATTTCCATTGACTCCCATTCATTTTGGCGTCACTTTGACAGCGAATAACTTTACATCTGAGGCGTTTAAAGACTCCATTTGTCCATTATTTATTTCTAAAGAAACACGACAATGTATAAAGGGCTCCATTACCTTCTATGTTACATTATGGCCCCGTAGAAACAGATTTAGTAAAAATAGGCTAACGATTGCGTCATAACCACTCGACTCTCTGTCGCGCTGTACAGAAATTATCGTACAGACAGGAGGAGAAGCTCGCAGGCAATCGGGGGGACGTCCCGTCAAGGGAGAAGGCCATAGATAATGACTCCATAAAAGCAACGGAATACTTACTCCTGCTCACTCACGATAAAGGACTCTTTGCTCAAGTTCCCCGTCTCTGCCAGATTAACGTTGGCAGTTTTCACGCACAGCTACTAGAAGATTAACGTCTGTCAGACAGGTTGCTCACGTCATCAAGCTTAGTTTGAGTCGGTCTGAGTCTGCGCGTCAGGAACGGAAGTTCTCAAAAATCGCTAAAAGTGGGCTTCAACTGTCTCAACTGAGTTCCAATGAGATCGCTCTGTCCATTTCTTTTACTGTCTATGCCTGGAGCCCACAGTGACAGGAAACACAACTGCACCCTACAAAAACTGAGTGAGAAATTATATTTAAGGCAGAAGATCATGATGCACAATGCAGATTTTAAAACAATGACTCATACAACTATTAAATGTCTCAAGCATTAATGCTGTTCATATCTATATTAAGAGGTCTAATATTATTAATGGTTAATGTTTCAGAGAATCAGGACACAACAGTTGAACATGCCTTTAAAACTTATCCCAACATGGAAGAGTGTAATATTAGATTAATTTCATCCGTGAAGAGAACACCTCGCCAAAGTGAAGATGCTGGATGTGGAGGTCCTGGGCTGGTGTGGTTACACGGGGTCTGCGGTTGTGAGGCCGGTTGGATCGGATGTACTGCCAAATTCTCTGAAACGCCTTTGGAGACGGCTAATGGTAGAGAAATTAACATTCAAGTCATGGGCAACAGCTCTGGTGGACATTCCTGCAGTCAGCATGCCAATTGCATGCTCCCTCAAAACTTGCGACATCTGACATTGTGCTGTGTGATAAAACTGTACATTTTAGAGTGGCCTTTTATTGTGGCCAGCCTAAGGCACACCTGTGCAATAATCTTGCTGTCTAATCAGCATCTTGATATGCCACACCTATGAGGTGGATGGATTATCTCGGCAAAGGAGAAGTGCTCACTAACACAGATTTAGACAGATTTGTGAACAATATTTGAGAGAAATAGGCCTTTTGTGTACATAGAAAAAGTCTTAGAACTTTGAGTTCAGCTAATGAAAAATTTAGGCAAAAACAAAAGTGTTGCGTTTATATTTTTGTTCAGTATATATATATATATATATATATTTGAGACAGATTTGTGAAGACAGATTTGTGAACAATATTTGAGAGAAATAGGCTTTTGTGTACATAGAAAAAGTCTTAGAACTTTGAGTTCAGCTAATGAAAAATTTAGGCAAAAACAAAAGTGTTGCGTTTATATTTTTGTTCAGTATATATATATATATATATATATATATATATATATATATATATATATATATATAGTGTTCTTAAAATATTTAAATATAAATATCTTGTCACAATATATATATATATATATATATATATATATATATATATATATATATATATATAGTGTTCTTAAAATATTTAAATATAAATATCTTGTCACAAAATTATTTTATGTCATTTATGACCTCCACTTGGAGTAGGCTGCTGATTTCCTTTGAACATTACTAATTAGATAAATGGTTATTTGTGTAGATAGAAATGTAATCTTTTTATCATGTTGCTGTACAATGACTGCAATACATTTACCAAAAACACTCAATATACATTCACACAGCTTCATTGTTTTAGTTACATCCAACAAAAAACAATGGCAAACTTAACCATTGGATACACATTCTCCAGTCTCTCAGTAGTTTTTTATTACATCAGATATACACCAGAAATCCCTAGTTTAGCATGAGTTCTACCAGAAGGTGGAGCTCTCATTTCAGTTATTTCAAAACAGAGTGCACAGAACTGAGTCAGTTAGGAGGAAACTGCAAGTATTGACACTAAAGGCCTTTTTTCTCTTGATGATGTTGCTCCTGGTCCTCATGATATTTTCTCTTTTTAATGGTGAGTGATGAATAAGAATAATTTCCAAATAGGACTTCTCTTTTTTTTTGCAGTTTAAATGTGTCAGTAAACCAACTGATTACATAAACTTACTTAGTCCATGAATTTTAATGTTTGCTTCTTGTTTTTTTTAAACAGAGAATGCTAATGCAGATGTGATAACCTCATTATCCATGGAGCAGCATGTTTTAGCAAAAGAAGATGTTACACTGTCCTGCAACTACAGTGGCAATATTCGCAGTTTGCAGTGGTACCGTCAGTATCCCGCATCTAAACCTGAGTTTCTCATTTTTTACACTGAGACCACTGGTCATTCAGAGCCCAAGCTTCGTCTGTATGCAATGGCCGATAAAGGAATCAAGCGAATGAATCTGAGAATATCCTCTACACATGTGGATGATTCTGCTGTTTACTACTGTGCCCTGCAGCCCACAGTGACAGGAAAACTGTCTATGCCTTACAGAAACTGGAAGTAACAGCAACAGAACAAATCAATTAGCAAATATCTCAAACATTTATACGCTGTTCTTAGGTAGTCTCATAATGATGATTACTATTTCAGATATTCAGGACCAATTTTAAAATGGTTTCAAAATCTACATGTTCCAGTTGTGCCCACACATATCAAATCACTCTGACAAATTATTTAAAAAAATGAAATTAACAAGAAGAAATTAAATGAAAGTTTAAAAAAATACCGTAAGAGGGCTTGGAATTATAAAAGATTCTGTTTAAAGATCTTAGAAACACTGTATATTCCACATATAGTTCTTAATTGTAATTCACAAGAAAAATATTTAATTTATTTATGTGAAACCATGATTTTGTGAACAGCTGTTGTGAAGTATGCTTTTTTTATTACGCTGGACTACAGCTTATTCATATGTTGGCTGTACCTGTATGAATGATTTGACTGCAATGATGCTATTTGATGAGAAGAGAACTGAACTGAGCTGGATGATGACTTCACTGTTTCATGCAGAGCTGCTTTATAGCCGAATTGAACTAATTAAATAAATGATGATCTTATAACAGAACTGAATCTACACTGAACTGACTTCAGCAGAATAATGACACTTTTCTTTTTCAAGCCGAATTGAACTCTGCTTGCATCATTCAATCATTATTTTCCTGTCGAGCACTGCAATCGTTATTTTATAAAACGAAAAAAAAGGATGACTTGACGGTAAGATGAAAAGTAGTATGTGTGGGAGAAACTCAAAGGTTTGTAAACTTCAGAAGAAATCAAAAAGACAACAGTGACAGACCAACTGTTATGATGATAGCAGAAGAACCCAAGCGCAGACGGTAGACAATTACACAACGTTTATTATAACAGAAAAACAAAACCCACGAGGGGGCAAAATAGAGACAATACGAACGAGGGAATACTAAACTAGAAAACACTTGACAAAACTAGACTAACAGACAGCGAATACTAGATCAAGAACAATACAAGACTTTATACTTTGACAAGGTACTCACGGGTAGAATCTCACAATGTACAACAATGAACCGGCCCAGGACAAGCAAACACAAGGGGATAAAATAGGGGAACACTAATGACAAAGACAGGTGAAGCTGACTAGACCAGCCTTTCTCAAACCTTTTTCAGTCAGGGCACCTTTCAAAAGTGCATAAAATCTTAAGGCACCCCAGTGTAAAATATAATTTAAAAACACTGCATAACCCAAATGTAAATGCAAATGTCCTGTTTATTTAGACAGAACAGTAATGAACAGAGCATAATACGAACTGTAAATAACAATAACAATAATAATAACAATTTTATAGAACCTTTTGGTATATTGTGGTCAATAAAAAAAATTATTTGCTTATAATTAACATGACAATGTGTACAAAACTAAAGTGGCCTAAATTCACGTTTATTTTTACGTTTCTGTCAGTCTGAGGTGTTGTTGCTATAACGCGTTGCTATGGGTTGCCGCTGCATCACTTGCGTCAAGTTGTGTGTGTGTCTTGCTTCGGTCTTGTGAGACAGATTTTTATGGTTAATTTTATATACCGCATTTTCCGCACTATAAGGCGCACTTAAAAGCCTTTAATTTTCTCAAAAAACGACAGTGCGCCTTATAATCCGGAGAGCCTTATATGGATGGTGAACACACGTTCACCAAGACGGGGAGACAGCGCCGGGCGACTTACGCCACTATCTGCCAATGGATCGTGGATGCCTGGGCTGATATATCAGTCTTAACTGTGATCCGAGCTTTCACGAAGGCAGGGAATAATCTCTTTATCCTGTTTTCGGTCGAAGTCCGCGCGCGCGATCAGACCTCCTCCGTGTGTTCAACATCTGATTCGGATGAACTATCCATTTGAGCTGATATATTCTCAGAACACCACACAGCACCGTCATCGGCTGATAGCTGACAGTCTGAATCTCCACTGTTGCTTTGTTACCAATGATCACGCGCGCGCACTCGACAATCGCCTACTTCGACCGAAAATAGGAAGAAAATACGGGTATGTGAGCAGCTGGCTGAATAAACATCATTTTTATTCATATCTTTCACATTTACTGCAGTCAGATTCACCGTGTTCACTCACATGGCTGTGTACTTGTAATGACACATTAAGGTTGTTAAGAGGCTAAAAGCAGGTTTAAAACTTGCCCCGTTTAAGTCAACAGGGTGCAAATTTTAAAAAGAGGATAACACGGTGTAGGCAACACCGTTTTTTTTCCGTATATATTTCCGTATATATTTATCTAAAATGAATTTACAATTTTATTAATACGTTCATATGTTTAAAAAGAAGAAGAATGTATTTATGTAAATATATTTATATATGAAATGTCAGATTTTTATTTTATTTTATTTTTTTAGCCTACGTCATTTTTTGGCGGCACCCCTGACACAGTCAGGGGGCACCCCAGTGTGCCGCGGCACCCACTTTGAGAAAGGCTGGACTAGACAATAATGACAAGACGAGGGTAACAAGGGGGCGGAGTAACATAACGAGACAACACAAGCACATGGCCCAAAACACAAGACCATGTTCTTGCACACAAATCATGATTCTGTCATGATCCTGCCTCAAGACTAGAGAAAATCAAGGACACGAGGGCAGAATCATGACACCAACTACCTTTATACTGAATTCTGAACTTGAACTACAGAAACATGTTACATATCTTGTCTGTTTTCATTTTTATCCTCAGTTACTGTAAGTACTATTAATCATACACATTTTAGACTGTATTCCAGAACATCACTAAAATAAATAAATCAAGTTTTAATAAATCTGTTGTTGTTTTTTTATCTATCCTAAATTGAATCCATTACTTTGCTTGAATCTTTAATGTCTTTGCAGGTGAGGCGAATGGGAATGTCATCAGACCAAACCAACCATCTGAAGTTTTAACTGAAGGAAACAGCATCACTCTCTCCTGTACATATGATGTATCAGCTTACAGTCTCCACTGGTACCGACAGATGCCTGGATCAAGACTAGAGTTTCTGCTGCTGATTGTGAAGTCTACTAAGTATGTCACCAAAGCTGATCGACCTCTCCCGCATATGTCCATTAGACTTCATGATAAACTTGTGGATCTGGAGATCTCCTCTGCTGCTGTATCTGACTCTGCAGTGTATTACTGTGCTCTGGAGCCCACAGTGACAGGAAAATCATCTACACTGTACAAAAACAGGTTTCTTGTATAGTCATATTTCGAAGAGGGAGGAGAGATTCTTCCCATGCAGTGTCTCAGTCTTTTCCCCTCTTTCCTTTCCTTTGCTGTGTAGTGTTGCCTTTTTCTGAGAAATGTTAGTGCACCATTTACTTATTAATTGTTGGTCATTTAAGCCCACTATTACAAGACAAAACACACTATAATTTACAATACACTAAGATAACCACTACAGTACACCATGCATGAACTAACATGGTAGAAAACTTAAAACCAATCAGGTGGCCGCTAACATCAGCTTGTAATTGGTATTAATTGTACAAAATGAATAAAACAAAATTGCTTAACTGACTATCATAACTTTGCTTCTTGATTTCTTTGCACTAAACATAAATAGTGGAATCAGTCAGATCTCTCTGGTCGTTACCGTCCTTATTAATTAAATAATAAAATTTAATCTAAATAACTGTTACATTCACATCCTTTTTGTGAAAATTCAAATATTTGTTCAATAAACCATTTTTAGTCTTTTTACTGCATAATTTATTAGGCCAATTTTTTTTCAGTAAGCTCTTATTTGTTGTTTAAGATACAGATCCCATATGAAATGAGGAGACATAGTAGCAAAAGTGATCTCACCTGCATTCTTCCAGAAGGTGGAGCTCTAAGAACCAATTGTAGTTCAGTCTCAGTTCAGATTAAAAACAGAGCATACATACTTATATTGAGTCACTTATACTCTAGGAGGAAACTGTAAGTCTTGGATCTCAAAGTCAAAACATTAGTGCAATGTTGCTCATGGTATTTATTATATTTTCTTTTCTAAAAGGTGAGTGATTCATAACAACTACTGTGGAAATATTTTTCCCCATATTTTTTTTATGAAAACTGATTGAGAAATGACATTCAAAATGGAAAATCATGTTGCTAAATTTAAAAACTTAATATAAAACAAGTTATCAGCTATGAAGCTGTTGAACATAATTACGAACATAGAACCACAAACTGTAATTACACCATTTCAGTACGTCCAAACCCTGTCTAAACACATATGTTACAGCTTATACTGAAAAGGCAGTATTGTCAGCAGATGCAAACTAGGCTATATCAAGAAATGGCTATGCCTTATTCCAAGGATGATTCTCAGCATACATAGGCCTACTGTATATTAAATTACAGATACACCGACTCTTAAACAATGTAGCTTTGTACCAAAATTTGCACAGAGGAAGAACATGGAGAACTTCTGAAGTATGTGTGAAGCTGTGAAAGTAATATATGAGAATAAGTAGGTGGAGCTAGCTGAGGGGAAAGTCACTGCAAAACAGAGGAACGGCACAATGCCTCCAAAGACAGGAGAAAGATAGCATGCAGTTCTCTTGAGAAAAATTCACAAAAACAATGCTGTTGCTCTGTCCGTTCATACTTTTCTATTATTTTGGTAAGAAATTAGCTTTTATTGCTTTTAGTTCCTGTGCTTGGGTAAAAAAAGACAACTACTTTGTTTTGTTTTTTTCCTTTCAGTGCTAAGTAATATGTGCTAAATCTATATGTCTTTACAGGTGAAACTACTGGGTATGGAATCAAATCAGATAACAACACCATAGTTTTAATGGAGGATAAAAACATTACGCTCTCATGCACTTATGAAGGCTCAGTAGACAGTTTGCACTGGTACCGACAAAAACCCAAATCAAGATCGGAATTTCTAATAATGATTGATGAAGCTTCTGGATATGTGACAAAAGCCAATCCACCTGACCCACATCTGTCAATCAGACTTCATAAAGCACAAAATCGTGTTCATCTGGAAATCTCCTCTGCAGCAGTTATGGATTCTGCTGTGTATTACTGTGCTTTGAGGCCCACAGTAACAGGAAACACACACACACTGTACA